AGGCGAAAACATGTCTACCTGATGAACCCCACAGGGAAACATTCAGATAGCTCTCCTTCGGCTATGACAGCAGAACATGGTTCTTGCGTACATTTCTTTCAGTCTGGAAACGATGTGCTTAAGTATTCCATAGCAATCATGATGATAGAATTAAATGAGCTTTGGGAACGAAGCTACCAAAGATTTCTCAGGTGAAAAACATCTCGACAAACAAACATTTGAATAACTGAAATAAAACGGCGACAAGTTTCTCGAAAACACTCTAGCACTGAGGCGGAGTTTCATTTTCGACTCTGACTTTGGCGACCCAACGTATTTTTAACCACATCGTGGCGAAAGTTCGGGCGAGATTCGCAGAGATGCCAAGAACGTAAAACAAATGGACTAACTTCAAAATAATTGCGCCCTTTTGGAACCAACGTCGGGTCGAACAAGTTCAAGCAGTTCTTCGTTTCGCTTTCGCCCGGCCGATAGATGACTGTGTAGTTTCGCCCGCGAGTGCGATTGCTGCGTCTTCCTGAAAGCGTTGGAATACAGCAAGCATTAATGAGGACTGAAAAAGTAACACTACCTCCTCTGCCGAAGCCTCGTCGTGGAGGCAGTCCAGGTGCCCACCGGTTAAGCGAAGACCCACTAGAACGAGCAGAGCGTGTGCAACGTTATTTTTCGACGTTCAGTGCAGATCACGCACGAATCAAGAGAAAAAATGTAAAATCTTAGAAAACAACGCCCATTTCTGACAGAGCGTCCACCCGTACATCTTCAACTTTCAACGTTACTGTTGTTCGTTTTCAGTTACAGATAAAAGTACCTGGTCGTCCGAGAATCACACACCGTAATTCACAAAATTAACCTACCCAACAGCGTTCGCCAGTCGGAACACGCGATTATCCAAATTTCTAAATTCAAGCGACTTCAGCGAAAAGAGCGATCTCAGCACGAAGACAAAAAACATTTAAAAAGTAGAAAAAAACAATACCTAGAAACTGCTCAAGAAACAACAGTTTGCGCCAAACATGTTGTCGACAAACGTTGCCAGTTTTTTGCACAAAGCAGTCCATTCGAAGCCCCCGACCAACATCTGGACACAAATTACTGCTTTCTAGTTAATCTTACCTACGCTATACACAAAACTTGCACCACGACTGATCTAGGTGAAATAAATAACATGAAAACAACGATACTGATCTCTTCAAGAGACTATCTTTAAGGAAAGAGCACCCTACATCTAATTACCGCTTGTCGACGCCATTTACCTGCTTGTTATTATAATTATCGTTCAAAGCAACAGAAAGCAACAAAAGAATAACCACCCTAGATTAATCGTCTGATATGTCAGGGATGATATATGACTAATTTTTATTGTTGCACTTGCAAAAACAAATCATTATTCACGCCGATCGAAGGTTCCATTATAGCAGTCTACAGCAAAACATTATATCGACCTCTAACAGCAGAAAGAGAACATTTATCTCATCCAGGGATGTTTCATAAAACTATGCGAGGGCGTCAGGCTCCAAACAGTTCTGGCAGCTCTCTCAACCACGAGATTTACAGCAGTTACTCACTCGTAAATCTATGCTAACAGAATTTTTCTAAAACAGAATTGCTGAACGCTCTCGACTCAATTGATTACCGTTTTAAGGCAGCTAAACATCAGGACAGAAAAAATCGCTGCCTTCGAGGATGCGATATTCTTATGCTGATTTCCGGTTAACTATCCAGTGAGTTTACACTTTGTGTATAAACTATTAGTGCCGTATCACCATCAGTTATTAAGCGAGTTTACACCCAATGTTGAACATTTAGTCAGCTGCCATGTGAGTCAAGGCGAATAGCAGATGTGAAGCGAATGCAACAGTCAGCATGGCCATGAATATCGAAAACTCTCATCACCATGCCGTCACCATTATTAGCAAGTCAACGACCTGATACATGTTTATCATCGGGTTGCCCAGAAGCAAAGCAGCGTAAATTTTTTGCTTACGCCGTGTCAGCATTTGAATCCAGGCCTTCAAAGGGCAAAATCAAACTTCTGTCCACGCGGCCAATGAATTCAGAACGATTTAATGTTCAAGCACTTCAACAAGTTTACTGAAGTTCGCTTATATGAGTCCCGGGAGCAAATTAATTTTACCTAAAGCAGTCATCGAGTTTTGCTAGGGATAATTTACGACAGTTTAAATGGTTTACTACAACATCCACCGCAGCATCTTTCGATCACACAAATTACCAGTCGCCGGTTGAAATGGATGCACTTATCACCTGCTCGTTGATGAATTTCCCTCATTGGTCTACTACAATTCAGCTTCACTGAGTTTCGCCAAGAGATGGCTTGCATGTGACGAGGATTATGGCCTTGATTGCAGTAGAGAACAACTTTTAGTAGAAATCTGAGATACCGTTTCAAACCGAACAGATATAACCAGTCTGGGTAATTCTACAATTCAAGTTCCCTCAACTTAAATGGTAATGACAACAACGAATTTATTAATCCAAATAATGTAACTATGAATTCTTACTTTGCACTGTGTGAAACTCCAGAACCCTGAGCTACTCAAAGTGTTTACTAGGCGTCAAGCAGAGAGCGGGCAATTCATCTTTTCCTTTATCTTTTTCTACCATGGCCGCTTCTCCATACGGATCGTGGAGGCAGAAGCGTCAGACAGTGCTTCCAACGTTCCCGATCTTGTGCTAGAGTTTGAGCTTCGGAAAAAGACAAATGGAGTCTGGAACAGACTCCTTCCATATATCTGCACAAGGTCAATCTTGGCTGTTCCCTGGGCCTTCTGCCGGTCGGATTTGTAAGGAACAGTTCTTAGCCTTCCTTTCTGGAGACATTTGCAACACATGTCCAAGCCATCACAGCTGTAACCTATAAATCTTGAGACACGGAGACTGTACACCAAGGCTTTCCCGGATGTCAGTATTCTGGATCATGTCGAAACGCGTAAGGCCAGCGACTCGTCTAAGAAAGCCCATTTCAGCAGCTTCTACCCAGGTTCCAAACTTTACAGTCAGTGTCCACGACTCATAACCGTAGGTAAGCATGGGGATAAAGATCGACTTGAACACCGAGAGTTTAGTTTTCAGACTGAGCTCTGCTTTAGTCATAATGGATCGGGCTAGTTCACGGAGAACACTACTGGCTACTCCAATTCGCCGGTCGATCTCTTTCTCAAACTTTCTATCAACTAGTGAACACGACTCCGAGGAACTTCTCCACTTGCTCCACTACCTCTCCGTTAATCTGAAGAGAGCAACGGGCAGGAAAACGAAAAAGCACTAGGCTTTTCGTTTTAGATGCATTCATATGCATGCCGGTCACGTCGCACTCGGCTGCGAACCTTTCCAGGGAGCACCATAGATCGGTTTCAGAAGATGCCAATAAAACAAGGTTGTCTGCAAACAGCAACCTTCTTGTCTTCCCATTTCCTACACCGATACACTCATCGCCTTGGTTGCTCCTGATTATTCTATCCATGTACAACACAAACAGGAAAAGGGACAGGATGAGCCTTGGCGGAAACCAGTGCCAATGTTGAAAGGTTTCGACTGAACGCCATTTACTCTGACACAGAACCTGGTAATTTGACATATACCAGAAAACCATGTATATGGCTACTTCAGCTTCGGTTCATATTGTCTAACCTTCCCATATATCATACAGCTTCCTGAAACTGTCTTATGCTAACACATGCCACTTAACTCTGAATCACATCTATTTAGACCTTAAGGCACCTGAAATGGTCTTCCTCTTCTATCACCATTCCACTCTGTAGTATTCCTGTGCTGTCAATACGAACATCAGTCCAATAAATTTTGTTTTCTTCACGCTGAGTTGCAGCCACACACCGCAAAAACTGATGGCTCCAATGAACATGCATCAGTTTATGGTACTGCTGTAATCTCAGCTTTAACAAAAACTGGCTTCGTGGCTATCAGGAATAGTGCTACATAAACATGCGTCATTCTCCAGGTCTGCACGGTTCCTTGATAAATCTGTGCATAGACTGATGTTAGAAATAAGGATGCCGAGTGAATCGATGCACAACATGTGCTAATACATAAAACGCTGTCCTGATTAAAAGGTATTTTAAGTTTCTAAATGTACGGGAGTGTTGCATCAGTGCCACATGAATTCGGGCAGTGACACATATAAGTAGTACAAAATTTACGTGATCTACGGATCATCCGTCATTTTCTATTACTCGTGCTACTTTTCCTACTCAATGCAGTGGACATTCCAGAGTGCACTGAATACGTAACTAATGACCTACTATCTACCCTGAAACGCTAACGAAAGCAAGAAAAAAATATTAAGCACTTAACCTGAGCCATACTACAATATCAACTCATCGACCACAGCAAAACACAAACATTAGTCAAAAACTTCTACTCACTCTCGCATATTGGGTCTGGATAGAAAATCGCTGTCAGGCAGAGTTCGTCTCCTATTCGGTAAAAAATACCTAAAAAGTTAAGGTAAGATCAATTTATTTCGTTACTACGACTGGAGCGTGTGTCGATTCACGACTACCGTTCAAAGTGTAGTCTTCTGCTGCTGTTGAACCCTCTTGCTGGTCTCGTAATGTACGAATCCTTCACAACAAAGAAAAACAGATGTTAGCTACCATGCAAGTATGGACAAACGTGCGCCGCATGTTGCCGGATATCCCTTCCTTGCCTCATCACTCAGTGCTTTTCGGCATAAGACGCGAAAAGAACTACAAGCACATCGTCACTTCTTAACCGAATAACCCATGACCTTGTCACGCAACCGGATAGAAGCAATCATCGGTTTAACGCGTTCTCTCCAGAGGCGCGACGACCCGTCAGTTCGAATTACGCTCTAATAGTGACAATCAAAGAACCACTGGTGTCTTCGCCTTCTACCATAAGTGATGCACCCGCACTCATGCTCTGAACATTAAATGATAAAGTGGTACGCCTTTTGTGAACGCAGAGCAAACAACAATAACAAAAGTTATTTTCTTGTCCACTTCTTGAACAAAAGATGGTTTTAGGCATGATGAATTTTTAAAATTTGATCTGACGTTTCGACATTCGGAATGGAAACTACCATCAAACTGATACAAAATATGTCATTTCGAGAGTTCTAAAATGTAATTAAAATTTTAAAACGTATATAATTATTTATCAACACAGTTTTTAGCAGGCTAACTACGGACAGTTATAATAGCTATTTGTTTTATTCATACTAGTTGTTATTATTACGCCATTATCATCATACTAATTGTCCGATGTTTCGGTGCATACTGGATCTATTTTCAGGAGCCATATAGCACAAAAGATTTAAACGATTTGAGAATCTTTTTGAGATACGGTCTCTGAAGTTGAATTCAATACTGAAGCATCAAACAACCTGCAAATGATAAAACCGGGCGGAGTAAACCTGTTAAAAACAATGCCAATAAAAAGTCTAACTATGCGGATTAGCAAGATAAGTTACTTCATTCAAACTGAAGCTTCCCAGCTTCGCATTCTGCAGTACCTAAACCATCTGATTATGGATTAAGAATTTCTTGCATTCTTCAGTTCCTGCACACATGCAAACACATCTTGACCTCGCAGACAGACCTTGAAGTTCAATCTTATATAATGATGTTTTTAAAAGCAGAAGTTGAGTCCTTCATGGGGAAGATTTACTGTAGATTGTAAGAACGGTTTACAGGGTGATGCTACATAACAACGTTCTGTATCACATTCAGCCCGGTTTGAGGAATCGACATCAGATGAGCTAACTGTGGCACACAGACAACAGATGGTAACATTATTAAGTTGCTTTAGACGTCGATTTTAGACCAGGGTTGCTCAGTGGTTGCAACGTCAAACTCAGAACCGACAGTCCTGAGTTCAAGTCCCGGTCAGGTTACTCGTACTTTTCCTTTCGATGGGGATAAACAAGTATCACTCTGTGGGAAGGAGACTACATACTATGCTTGTCACATGGTTGCTATCGACTCGGTCTTTAACATACAGCACTTCCAGTTGATGACAGAAAAAAGAAGATCAGCACCGCACTATTAACTTCAAGAAAAATAGGCGCGAGAAATGGTCCATGATAACAGTGTAAGGAAAACCGACGTTCCAACGGTTATATACTCTCATTTTCATCCATTTTTCTTCATTTTGAGAAAATGGATCGAGTACAGCATAAAACCTTAGAGATGCTCAACATAATAAAGATACCATGAGGTGTCATTCCGTAAAGGAATTTTGAATTTTAAGTTGTTTATGATAT